AGTGTGGCTTGAAATGTCATTGTTCATTCTTTTTTCCGCATTGTAGGGTGAAATTTTATGATATCTGTACTTACGTCATCAACCTTATCAATACCGACATCTCATTAATAATATCTGGAATAATAATGAACTATTACACCGTTGGCTTATAAAAACTTGCTTGTCCGAATAGTCTATATCATATAAACCCCGATTCATAACCGTCTTACTGAAATTTTCAGTCAATTAAAGTTTAGACCAATTCTTTCCAAGTGCACGTTACTATCACCAAACCCTCTACCTTAATTAATGACACTGACATGGCATAACCCCTTCATGCGACCCTCTTAAGATGCGTGAATTGTCATGGTGTGTGAACGTGGTCGTACTGAGCGACGATCCCGCCTTCCTGGCCTCCTTCGCTGAGTCGTCGCTCCGGGGCCGCCTCCTGGTGTGGGCCACGAGGCTCCTGGTCGTCACCCGCCTGTCCCTTCAGGAGCTCCGGCGGCTCCTCTCCTCCTCCTGGACCTTCGCCATGATGAACGCCTTGGTCATCAACCTGGAGATGTTGTCAGGGCAGTTCAGGTAATTATGTTAATTATACCGTATCAATTAGATAGTCGTGTTAATTTAGGGAAAGGGAAAAAATGTATATTTATAATGACAATAAGAATGATATTGATAATAGTAACGACAACAACAACAACACCAACAATAATGATAATAGTAATGCTGTTGCTGATGACAGAAATAACACTAATCATGATAATGATAATAATACCAGTAGTAATAATTTAATTGGTAATAATAATAATGCTAATAACATAACAATGATAATTATAATGATAATAATAATATTAATAATAATAATGATAATAATAATAATAATAATGATAATAATAATAATGGTAATACAAAAATAGTAGCAATAATGATACTAGTACTGTTACTACTAGTACTGATGATGGTAATAGTAATATTGATGATAATAATAATGATGATAATAGTAATAATAATAATAATAATAGTAATGATGATGATAATAATGATAATAGTGATAATAATAATAACAACAATAACAACTATAACTATAAGTATTATCATTATCATTAGATACTACTACTACTACTACTAATGATGATAATAATGATACTTGCAATAGTAGCAGCATTAGTAGTAGCAGTAGTAATAATAATGATAATATAATAAAGAAAATAAACAACAGTAACAACAAAAGTAAAAAAAAAAAACATCAACACTGATAATGATAACAACCAAAACAATAACGACAACGATAATCACCGATGTCAATATCAGTATTTTTCTCATACCATACAGATACAAAATCTACACTTATCAGCCGTACAGGACAGCTGAAGGAGAGCTGCTACACTTAGCGACCTGGGCACCTGAGCACGGCATCCACGTCAAAGGCGGGATGGAGCTCTTCCCGGAAAAGTTTGAAAAGTGAGAATTTTGTTATATGATTGTTATATGATTCCCTTGTGGTGTGGTGGTTATGTGAATTAGATTGTGAGTGTTTCGTTGTATAGAGGAAAGGTGGTGATATTTGTGGGTTAGAGTTAGTTTAAATTGTCTGATTTACTGAATAGAATTATATATATATATATATATATATATATATATATATATATATATATATATATATATATTTATTTATATATATATTGTAGTTGTTTGCATATCTACACATTAAGGAAATCTAATAAAAATAAATCTAAAATGAAATATAAAAACATTTAAAGATATAGAATCTAAACGGATATGTAGAGAAATCTAATACAAAGTCTAACAAAAGCTTCCACGGCGCCGAGGTGGGCGTGACAGCTTTGCCATTCCGCCCGTACTGGATCGAGGAGGAAACGCTGGGACAAGACGGAGCCCTTCATAAGACGTACACTGGGTCCGACGGTCTCCTTTTGAGAACGATTGCCGAGAGTCTCAATTTTACCTTCACGCCTCTTCCGGTCTCTACTTGGGGAGAAGTAAGTGAAAGAGAAAGGAGAGTGTTTTCTTTTCTGTTTTCTGATACTCGGAAATATTGTCTTTGTTCTCTAGTTCGTGTGCTAAAGATAATAATGTAGTTGATGGCGGTAGGGATGACTTATTGAAATGTGGCTGGAGGAAACCATAGAGTGACTACGTGTGTGTTGTGTCACTAAAAATAGAACCGTTAAAGAGATGAGACCGAGCTATAAAAGAGGCAATTAATGTAATATTCATAAAAACTAAATGAAGATTAACTAAAATGTATAATAACTTCATCTGTTGTCATACACTCTACACTGAACAACAAGACAATAAAGTTGATCATAAAGAACTCGACGATAGCAAAGATAATGATAATGGTTACTATTATAGCCGGAATATATAACAACAGAAGTACTAACAGTAAAGCAACAATAACTGCAATACTGATAGAGAATCAATTCAATGACACGAATGACACAGAAATGATTATCCTGAAATGATACTCATATCCACACTTTTCAGATTCTGT